ACTAACTCCAACAAGTACAGCCCACCACCACCAAGAAGAAATATACAAAAAAGAAGGGAAAGCTTTACATAAAAAGTGAGATGAAAGCGATTTCTTTTAGTTATTGGGTAATAGCTTTCCTTTGAAGCACTTTTAGCACATTTCCAGCATGTATTGTCTTGCTTTCTCTATATTCTCCCATCCAATTATTAAGTTCTGTCATCCCTGGGCACCTAAGATCTATTAAAATCTGAGAACTTCATATAATATTTTTAAATTTAACATTACATTTTGCTAATAAGTCTTATATGAGTATAATGTTCTCCAAATTAGAATTCCTCAGATTACATTGAACTACTTAACTTTTATTAATTATTTGATTCTGCAGGTTATAATGGTAAGTAAAAGAAAAAAAGATGCCAAATTGCATTCATACGATTAAAATAATACAGAAATTTCCAGTTTGGGCATGGTGGCTCACACCTGTAATCCCAGCACTTTGGGAGGCTGAGGCGGGCAGATCACTTGAGGTCAGGAGTTCAAGACCAGCCTGGCCAACATGGTAAAACCGCATCTCTACTAAAAATGCAAAAATTAGCCAGGCATGGTGGCGCATACCTGTGATCCCAGCTATTCAAGAGGCTGAGGCAGGAGAATTGCTTGAGCCCAGGAAACAGAGGTCACAGTGAGCTGAGATCTCACCATTGCACTCTAGCCTGTGTGACAGAGCAAGACTGTCTCAAAAAAAAAAAAAAATTCCCCATGTGTATGGACATGGCCTAAAAGAAAATAGTAATAAAAACAGTGTTCAAGTGATTAATTATAGGTGATTAATTTGACATATTTTTGCCGTACAAAGCAAATCAAGTCTGTAGGCATTGTTGATGGTCTATGGGCAAGGCAGCATGAAAACATTCTAAGTAACACCCATTTTATAATTTTAAATTTTATACTGGGTTGCCTTTAATTAAAAAAAAAAAAAAGAAAGGAGTCAAATCCCATGTTCCCACTTAAGAATGTCCCAGGAGTAACAAACAAAGCTCATTATTAACATGCTTTGTTATACTGCATTTCAGAGTTTTAGAAAAAGACAAAAAAAAAAGCATGCAGCGGGGAATAGAGCTGCGTTCTAGAACTGACTATCAATCAGCTCAGTAGCACTGTCTAAGTGACATAGTCATCTTCTGCCAATTTTCTCAGCAGTAAAATGAAAAGCCTGGGCCAGACCTGCACTGTCTAGTGCAGTAGCCACTAACCTACCACATGTGAGCAGTGAGTGTTTAAAATGTGGCCAATCCAGACCAGGCATAGTGGCTCATGCCTGTAATCACAACACTTTGGGAGGCTGAGGCAGGTGGATCACATGAAGGCAAGAGTTCATAACCAGCCTGGCCAACATGGTGAAACCCTGTCTCTACCAAAAATACAAAAAAATAGTCCAGTATGGTGGCAGGTGCCCGTAATCCCAGCTACTCAGGAGGCTGAGGCACGAGAATTGCTTGAACTTGGGAGGCAGAGGTTGCAGTGAGCCAAGATCATGCCACTGCACTCCAGCCTGGGCAACAGAGCAAGACTCTCAAAAAAGACACAACAAACAAACCAGCACGACCAACAAAAACTAACTAAAATGTGCAAAATCCAAGTAAAGACATATTGTAAGTACCAGTATACACACTTAGTACCACAAAAAAAGTATTTAAAATATCTCCTTAATAATACTTTGTGTTATATTTTGGAATGATATCTTTAATATATTGGGTTAAATACGTAAAAAGTACCTTCTGTTTCTTTTTACTTTTTAATGTGGACACTAGAAAATTTTAAATTATATATGTGCCTTGCATTATATTTTTAGTGGACAATGCATGACTAGATTGTATCTTCCAGCCCTTAATATTCTCGTATCTTAAGCTTTAGAGGCAGTCATTCAAATTCAGAAAGCGTTACACAGCACATAGTGCGTATATAAAATATTCCCTTCTTTAGAGTCCACTAGGTGGCACTAGAGTTCAGGCCACAAGCTAGTAAGATTTAAAATTTGTACTTGCACTTTTTAAATTTATTTATTTATTTATTTATAGATGGAATCTCGCTCTGTCACCCAGTCTGGAGGTTCAAGCAATTCTCCTGTCTCAGTTTCCCCAGTAGCTGGAACTGCAGGTGTACGCCACCATGCCCAACTAAGTTTTGTATTTTTAGTAGAGATGGGGTTTTACCATATTGGTCAGGCTGGTCTCGAATTCCTGATCTCAAATGACCTACCCGCCTCTGCCTCCCAAAGTGCTGGGATTACAGGTGTTAGTCACAGTGCCTGGCCTTAATGTTTTATTTTAAGAGACAGGGTCTAGTTCTGTCACCCAAGCTGGAGCACAGTGGCATGATCATGGCTCCCTGCAGCCTCAAATTCCTGGGCTCAAGTGATCCTCCCACTTCAGCCTCCTTGGAAGCTAGGCCTACAAGTATGCATCACTATGCCCAGCTAATATTTAAAAAAAAATGGATGTAGGGGGGCAGGTGCAGTGGCTCACACCTATAATTCCAGCACTTTGGGAGGCTGAGGTAGGTAGATCACTTGAGTCCAGGTGTTCAAGAACAGCCTGGGCAACACGGTGAAACTCTGTCTCTACAAAAAATACAAAAATTAGCTGGGGGTAGTGGTGCACACCTGTGGTCCCTACTACTCGGGAGACTGAGGCAGGAAGATTGCTTGTGCCTAGGAGGTGGAGGTTGCAGTGAGCCAAGATTGAACCACTGCACTCCAACCTGGGCAACAAAGTGAGATCCTGGGTGGAAAAAAAAATTTTTTTTAATTTGAATTTTTATAATAGAGGCAGGGTCTTGCTCTGTTCTCTGGTCTTGAACTCCTGGGCTCAAGCAATCCTCCTGCCTCAGCCTCTCAAAGCACTGGAGTTACAGGTATAAGCCACTGTGCCTAGCCTGTACTTGCATTTTTCTTTTTCAGATGGAGTTTCACTCTTGTTGCCCAGGCTGGACAGCAATGGTGTGATCTCAGCTCGCTGCAACCTTCAACCCCCGAGTTCAAGAAATTCTCCTGCCTCAGGCTACTGAGCTGAGATTACAGGTGCCTGTGACCACGCCTGCCTAAGTTTTTGTATTTTTAGTAGAGTTGCGGTTTCATTATGTTGGCCCGGCTGGTCATGAATTCCTGACCTCCGGTGATCCATCAGCCTCAGTCTCCCAGTGCTAGGATTACAGGTGTAAGCCACCGTGCCTGGACTGTACTTGCAGTTTTCTAAATGAGCTGTGCATAGGCTCATATCCGTGCCTTTGCTGACAGTGTTCTCTTCACTCAGACACCTTTCCCTAAGTTGACCAGGAGGCCTACAACCTACTCATTTTTAAAAAATTGAAAGCCTCTAAAGTTTTTCCTCCTGCCTACAAATATCTTTATATACCCCCATCCTGTATACACATGTCTATCATAAAACCATGGCACATTATTTGTTCACAAGGTTTCCCCCTACTACCTCCTGTACATTTTGAGGCAGGTAGTGATGAGGTCTTAGCTGATGCCTGGCATCCAATAGGTGCTGTACACAATGTATCAGTCAGGATAGACTGTTACACTTCAGTTAATGAAATCCCCAGATATCAGTAGCACAATTCCTGTGCTGCAGTGCAGGTGTCAGTCACCTTCCTGCAACAGGCTCAGTCCTTCTGCAGACGGGTGGTGGGTAAAGGGAAATACAAGAACATGCCCTAGAGAAAGCAGCCGGTCTAGAATTCTCTTCCACATCCCAGTCAGATTGGACAGATTAAGGGCTCTGCTTCATGGCATCATCATTCCAGGACCTACACTAATGGAACAGTTCCATATGAAACACTGCTGGTCACTGCACAGAAGGAAAAAGAGGGCCTCACAGGTTTCTCCAGCACTGAAATGCTCTCATGTAGAATTAACCCAAGTCACTACCACTCACAGCTCACTGGCTAGAACTAAAGACATGGCCCCATCCAACCACAAGGGTTCAACTAAACCACTTGGAGGAGAGGCTTAAAGTGCAGCTCTCCAATTGAAAGTTCAAAAATACCCAAATTACAGAGGCATGAGAATGAGAAAATATATCAAATACAAGAAATATGACTAGGAAAGGGCAACTACTGGCACATGAAACTGTCTGAAATCAGAAAAAGCCACCTACATTTTTGAGAGTAGTACTATGCTAACAAAGTAAGAGTCACATAAACCCAGTCAACCACAAGGGGACCAACTTACCATGTATCCAGAAGGTGGGAAACTGGAAATACTTGATAAGTAACACTAATGTCAACCACAGTGCAATAAATGAAAGTGATGCTTAACCCAGAGACTTCTATCGTGACACTCTGGGAATACTCACTCAAGAAGCAAAACTGGTTTCGGAGAAGACACTGTACTCCACTGTTTCCCTTTGGCAAAAGTAAATCAAATTAATCAAATGATGCACACACTGAGATGGGAGTGTAAAATACTGTCACAGGCAGAGGAGTGGATACAATTGTACATGGGACAGGGAGAAGAGTAGTGGATACAAGGAAAAAAAATAGCTCCAACTTTTGAGGAAAGGCCAAGTTGCTTAGATCTGGGAGAGCAGAAATAATCATCTGTAGTGTGGACACTTTACCAACTGACTTTGAGAACAACTGGAATTAAGCAGTCTTTTTGGTGGGTAAGTAAAACATGCGGAAGAGCACAGAATAAAAAAGCCACGGCCTCCTGGACTGACAGTCCTCTTTGTCCCAGAGACTCAAGGAGAGGGGCTGGAAGTGGCGACGCTCATTTTTCTTCTTTACAGATCTAGTCACGAGAGGACTACAGTAGTCGTGGCCTAGGCTCACACAACTGGTTGATACAGGGCAGACCCAACTGTTTCTGCCCCCAAATTCAGAGGTTTATTATGTTTTAAACAAAATGGTTTAAGCACTTTCCTGCTCCAAAGTTTTGAGATGTTAAGCCTCAGGTCTAGAAATTAAGACCCTTCCCTACCAAGAATTTCAAGGGCAGAAGCCAACATGGCACATAGTAGAAACACGTATTCCGCTTTATTAATTAGAAAAAATCATTTAAGCCACATAGTGGCCACAATGTCCGTAACCTGAGCAGGCTCCAGCATCCCACGACCCCCTTCAGACCAACACACACTATGCTAGGGGAAGGACTTTAAAATGCAAAACAATGAGAAATGGGCACTGAACACCCCATCCTCTCCCTCCCAACAGCCCACCCACACACCTCTTCAACTGCCATCCAAACACGGAGGAGCTCTCGCGGAAGAGAGGTTGAACACAAATAATGGAGCATAAGACACTCATGTCTAAAGGAACCCCTGGCAGATGTTTAGGAAGCAGAGTTGAAAATATCCTCTTTCAACAGCTGAAGTTGGGACATCTAAGAGATGTCAGAGCCATACTGCTGAAGAAAGCACAGCATACAGCAGGCCCTGGGGAAAGGGTGAATTCAACCTGTCTCACAGCCATGAGCAATCCATTCACACCTGTGCATTAAACAGGCTCTTTCTTTTCTTTCTTTTTGATGGAATCTTGCTCTTTCATCCAGGCTGGAGTGAAGGTGTGTGATCTTGGCTCACTGCAACTTCCACCCTCTGGGTTTAAGCAATTCAGCTGCCTCAGCTTCTGAGTAGCTGAGATTACAGGCACTTGCCATCACGCCCGGCTAACTTTTGTATTTTTAGTAGAGACTAGGTTTCACCAGGTTGGACAGGTTGGTCTCAAACTGCTGACCTTAGGTGATCCACCTGCCTCAGCCTCCCAAAGTGCTAGGGTTACATGCGTAAATCATGGCAGCCGACCTAAACAGGCTTTGTCCAGGCAATGAGGATCCAGTTAGCCAGGTTCTTCCAGGCCTAGTAATAGTTCTCTGGTTACACTGGTGCTCAGCTTGCCTGCTAAGAATGGGGCTCCCATCTGGACATGTGTAGGTCAGTGTTGCAAAATATGGCCAGCACAGAAAGAAGTCTTATCACATGCCGCTAGATGGATGGTCTGGAAGGCCCTTGGGGGGCTCTGTGTTGACTAGCTGGCTTCTGGTGGTCCAGGAGGTCCCAGGCGATGGGATCTCTCGTAAGCCCTCTAGGAACTCCATCACTCTAACGAAGATGGAAAGTAGGGTCAGCACCACACCTAAGAGGTAGAGGTTCAACACATGCTTCATGGCTGAAAGGACCCTACTCCTCCGCAGAGCAGCAGAGCTGCCTTCTGCTTCTGGAAGGCCTCTGGATCCTGAGGAAAGAGAGGAAAGAATCAATCTACACCCTTTTGGGATATGCATGCATCCAGCACTGACTCTTCTGTCCTCCCACGGAGCTGAAGGAGAGGCTTAGCCAGTGAGGGAGACAGGGACCAGGGGATATTCCTACACAGCGACTCTCCAAGTATATTTACATTTCAAATTTCATGGCTGCGGAGCCAGTCTTGCTTCTTGGACTAATTCAAGAACACTTCTTAAAATTTTTACTTTCTTGAAAACTTTGTTCCTGCAAATCGTGCAAAGGGGTTGCACAATGCACAACCCCTGTGCTGCAGTGCAGGTATCAGTCACCTTCCTGAAACAAGTCCAGGCCTTTTGCAGAGGGGTGGCGGGTAAAATGGGAAATAGAGCCTGCGCTAGAGAAAACCACCTGCCTGGAAGTCTCTCCCACATCACAGATTGGAGTTAACTACAAATTTTTTGCAAATCCAAATAACTCTGAGGGGCAAATCTATCAATTTCATTTATTTAACCAACATACCATGAATTTCTGCAATGTGTTAGGTACCCTGGAAGATACTAGGGCCACATGGCAAACCCTGTAGACAAATGGTTGTTACCACTCAACAGGCTAAGTGCTGGGACAGGAAGGAGATGGTGAAGGTGCCTTGGGAGGGTATGGCAGGGACGCCTAACCCAGCACTGGTGGGCAAGGGATGGCCCACGTGGATCCTAGTTAGGGCCATTTCAAGACAAAACAGGGCTGGGCGGCTGACTGGCGAACCCGGGTAGGGTTGAGGGCGAGGAGAGAGGCTCCCAGCGGCGCAGCCCCAGCCCTGCTAGGCTGCTGGCCCGGCCTGCACTCGGGCGATGGGAGTCGGGAGCCGGGGAAGCCCATAGGGCCGCTCACCTCCGGGAGAAGAGCCGGCTGTAGCAGCAGGTCGTGTAGGAGTCGGGAGGAAAGTCGGTTTCAAGCAGCAGCGCGTAGCTTCCCGCCACAAAATGCACCGAAGACAAATGCTCGGTCCACCGCAGAACGCCGAGCAAGGCAGCCCAGCCTCCACCCCTTATAGTCGTAGGCCCACCCCCGGAGGGCACGCGCACGCGCACTTGAGCCCGCACGCACGCGCGGGACGTACACGCCGGGACGCACGTCCGCGGCCCCACCTCGTCTGGGGACTGTACAGGGTTCTCTCCCGCTGAGCTGTTTCCAAAAGTACACGTCGTGCGGTTTTGAGTCATTGCGGTCTGGAGTGAGACGAGGCGTGTGCCTCGACTGCCATCTCCGGCCATAGAAAACGTTTGAAGGAGTCAGAGAGTACATCTCCCTCCTACCTAGTCCGTGGAAAACACCGACGGCCTTCGTGTCCGTGAAGCCCTGCCGCGGAGGGTGGCTTCTTCCCCAGAGATTTCGGCAAGCACTGAATTGTCAGTGGGCACCAGACCCCCATCCCACTCGTTATTTTCTTCATTTCAAGGACTGAAGAGCAGGTTTTGTTTCACTTCTTAGAGGTACCAAGATTCCATGGTGAGGCCCTTGTGCACCACGTAAAGCTCTGCTCTCTGTGAGAGTTTGTCGTGTCGTTTAAGAAGATATGAAATACACCTGGCCCTGGTATGGGATCCTAACTACATATGGGCAAGTCACTTGGTATTTAAACGGGCCTCAGTTTTCTCATCTGTAATGAAGGTATTGGCCACTAGATGATTTTCTTTTCCCCTCCCCCTCCCCCTCTCCTCGTCTTTCTCTTCTCTTCTCGCAGAGTCTCGCTGTGTTGCCCAGGCTGGTCTCAAACTCCTGATGTCAAGCGATCCTCCTGCCTTGGCCTCCCTGAGTGTCGGCGCTACAGGCGTGAGCCACTGCGCCTGGCCGCTAGATGATTTTTTTTTTTTTTTTTTTTTTTTTTTTTTTTTTGAGATAGAGTCTGACGCTAGATGATTTTTAAGGGTGCTTTTGGCTTGAACTAAAGAGCCAGGAGGTCACAGTCCGTACAGCCTTATGCCCAGATTTGGGGGTTGGGCTGCCCTACCAAGCACCCCCTCCACCCACCCCGCCCCCACCACCCAGCCAAGACTGTGGTCTGTCTTGAGAGCACGCAACGGGGGAATCTCAGAAAGTAGAGTCCCGGAGAGACACTGGGAATGGGGAGCACCCCTGGGAAGGAACGTCCACCCCGTGGAAGGGAAGACTGCTGGTGGCTTTAGAACTGGCGTTTCCGTGTGCCCGGGTCTAGTGCATGGGCCGGATGGGAAAGAACCTAGACTTTCTACATCTGCGCGAGCTCGGCGGGCTCTGCTGAGTAGGGGCTGTTGGACGGGAAGGGAGGAGCCAAATCCCCACTGCGACCTTTCCCCTCCTTTCCTGGCTGGCTAGCTGTGGTCTGTCGGGAATGAGGGGGTGGGGAAAACAGAAGATTGGGGCTGGAGGCGTGCTGGCAGGCAGGCAGACATTTGGAACCAACTTTCCTGCTCAGCCCGCAGAACTTTTGGTCCTTCGTTATACCAGAGTTGCGTCTGATTTTGTGCTTGACTCTGTGACCCTTCTCTCACACTGTTACTAAAATAAGTCTCAAGCTCTGAAATCACTGCCAGATCCAAATGCCCCTACTTTGCCAGGTGAGGGCCTTGGACAAAACCTTTAACCTTGTAGTTTGGTTTCCTCAGCTGTTATGTGGGGTCATAACAGTCTTAACCTGGCTGTTAAATGAATTAATCCATATAAAGCACTTAGAACAGTGCTTGACACATAGAAAACATTCTGTGAGTGTTAGCATTATCTGTATCATCAAGTACACAACTCCTAGTGTGGAGTTTTGCTCATTAGCAGCCTAGGCTTGGTGAATGAATGCAGGTATTCCTCAGTGACCCTTTGGGTTCTACTGAGTTCTAAATTTATACGTCACGCAGCTGGAAGAAGGGATGGGTGCCTCTCCAATAATTCTCCACATACTCACTGCCACTGTTTAAAGGTAACGCCAGCTGGAGATAAGTGTTTGGGTGAGTGCAGCTCTGTGCTTTCCCATCTGTCACCACAAATGTAGCTGCTTGCATCAGGGATTAGGCCTGCCTTCACCCTTGGCCAGGCTAACTGACCCCTTTGAACTCTAGTTTCCTTATCTGTAAAATGAGGAAGAGAATCTGTAAAACCGGATTGTTGTGAGGGTTGGAATTAATGTACATAAAGAGTATGTCATATATGCTCAGTAAATAGGAGCTATTATTTTGCTAAAAAGTATAAAGCCAGATTCTTGTTCCAAATAAGCTTGTCACCTGGTTGAGTAAAGGACCTGAATAAGATAACTAACAAGTTTAGAAGTAAGTACATAACTAGGGTGGTAATGTTTTGCTTGGGGAACTGGGATTTTAACATTCACTAATATATGGTTATTTAAAAAAAAAGAAAGAATGGAAACAAAATAATCATTCTCCCAGTAACTGACATGTGCTGAGCATTTTGCTAAATGCATTACATGTATTATTTAATTTTTCTAATGATGCTATGAGGTGGGTATTATTGCCTCTCTTCTTTATTTGTTGTAGCTGAGAAAGGGTCTCACCCTGTTTTCCAGGCTGGAGTACAGTGGCATGATCACTGCTCACTGCAGCCTTGACTTTCTGGTCTCAAGGTATCCTCCCACCTCATTCTGAGTAGCTGGGACTACAGGCATGCACCACCACACCCAGCTAATTTTTCTTTTTCTTTCTTTCTTTCTTTCTTTTTTTTTT